GAGTGTTAGGGCTTATAACCATGATGAAATTTCTTAGAAAAAGTAATTTCTTGGACTCCCTTCAAATTAGTCCTTCAAAGATAAGCTCCTGTTAATACTGTATAGAAGTTTTAAATATTCTTTAAAAAAGTCACTAAAATTCCTCATTTGCTTTACAAGGTCCTTATATACATTCCCTCATGTAAACTGTCACAGAAAGTAATTATATTCCTCATTTAATAAAGAATATTGGTAAGTGTCCCAGGCCATATTATATAATGGGGACAAACTGAAATAGAACTTAGGTCTTTTATTTCTTTTTTTTTTTTTAAGACAGGGTCTCCCTATAGCCACAGCTGGCCTGGATTCACTATGGAGACCAGGGTGGCCTCGAACTTACAGAGATCCACCTGCCTCTGCCTCCCAAGTGCTGGGATTAAAGGTGTGTGCCACCACGCCCATGGCCTTTTATTTCTAAGACAGGATCTCATTATGTAGCCCAGGCTGGCCTCAACCTTATTATCCATCTGCCTCTGCCTCTTAAGTGGGATTATAGGCATGCACTACCATGCCTGGCTTAGAACCTATGTCTTTTGAGCTCAGTATTCTTTCTCATATAAACCAGGCCACCCTTAAGTAGAAAATTTTTGTTCCAAAGCATTTCCATTGCTTTATTCAGGGGGGGGAAAAAAAAAAACCTTAAAAAAATCCAGTACAAAAATTCACAAAAGATAAAATCACTTGCTATCAGAGTCTTACCAGTAGCATGCCTGATTTCTAGTCACAGGGTCAGGTCTCTGCATGTTCAGTGCAATGCAGGTGTGTTCTACACCCCATACAATCACTGCTCCACAGCTCTCTAGCTAAATCAAGTACATTATGAGAGAGGCAGGATAATGCATTACCAGAGGCCTGAATAAGTGACCTCACAAAGTGAAATAGACCTTGCAGAAAGCTTCCTGAGTGCAAGCTGTTCCATCCTCTACTTGGGAACTGGTAATGGAATATTAAGAAGACCAAACTGAGATTCCTGCTATGAAACTAACAACACAAAATACTATAATTTTACAAAAGTTTGTAAAAGATTGCTGATTGGCTATGTTGAAACTCTCCATGGCTAAAAACTCCATACTGAAAACTTAAATACCTGGCATCCATCTGAACTTGTAGAAGTTGAATTGTGAACATGTCAAGCAGAAAGGGAACCGAAATACATGAAGTCCATAAAAAGGTCTGAGAGCAGTGGCTTACTGTAAAAAGCATTACAAAAGGATGACCAGTCAAAGTCCTGCAACTGGCATTCTGGCTTAGGACTGAGGAATCTTCCTATAAAATTGATTCCACAACATGTTACCTATATATGAAAGGGATTTTAAAAACTATGATATAGTAGTAAGAAAAATTTTAACATTTTTGGGGAGTATGATAAAGACATTAAAGGATGACCTTAGTTCTAATTCTTCACTTGAAATACGGAATATGGATTTGTCTTTGCATATATGTATGCAAGTGTGTGTGGAGGGCCAAGACTAATACCAGGAATCTTCCTCGATTGCTCTCTACCTTATTCTTTGAGACAGGATCTCTCAACCAAACCCAGAATTCATCAGTATGGCTAGTCTGTTAACCAGTTTGCTATGGGGATGATGACTAAGCTTCAAAGGCTCAAATTACAGGTGTGCCATCACTTTCACTTGATATTTACATGGATCCTGGGGATCTGAACTCTGATCCTTTTGCAGGGCAAGCACTTTAACTGCTAAGCCATGTCCTCAACCCCTGATGATTGTTCTTTTAAAAAAAAATATTTATTTTAATTATGTGTATGTGTGTGGGTTTGTACACATGAGTACAGGTGCCCACAGGGCCTGAAGGGGCTACTGGATTCCCTGGAGCTTGAGTTATAGGCATTTGTGAGTCACCTAATGTGTGTAATGGGAACCTAACTGGGGTCCTCTGCAAGAGCAGCAAGCACTCTTAACTGCTGAGCCATCTCTCTAGGCCATAGATGTTCTTTTAATATTGCCTTTGGGGTACTTTTCTAATCTTGGGTAGAATTAGAATTACTCAGAACTGTAAATCAGATGTCTAAGTAAATTATTTCCCAGCATTTATAATTTTAGAAAATAATTTTCTAACTTTTTTTGTATGTGTACATGTGTAGGGGTCAGAGGGCAACTTGCAGGAGTTGGTTCTCTCCTTCTACCATGTGAGTCCCAAGGATCAAACTCAGGTTGTCAGGCTTGATGACAGGGGCCTTTAACTCCTGTGTCATCTTTCTGGTCTTTTTTTAAAAAAATAATTTTTAATGAGTCAAATATAAGGTTCTACCTGGGAGTATTTTTCCCAAACCTGTATTGTTCCTGGGAGTATTTTTCCCTAGGTGCCTAACAATCAGCAAGAAGATAGCTCAAAAGTAAGCACTTCTTTCTTGTTGTTATATATGTTTGATTAAAACAAAACCACAAAGACTTCAATTGGAACTCTATAACCGAGTCATCAAAAGCAGCAAAGCTGGTGTGGCACTATACCGTGGATGCCCACGAGCAGCTGGAGCTGTAACTGCAGCTCCATTCTAACATACATCTAATTGTGCAGCTTTTCTAGTTAGAAAATTATTCCAATGCCAAAACTGAAATACTGGGATTGTGGAAAATACATTTTAGACTGCCCAAAAGGGAAAGAGGGAAAATCTAGTCACCTAAATGAGATGAGTGCAGAACAAAAGAAATTATTCTGAGACTTCAAGTCCCCTGCCTTGGCTTTCCTCTAGTTCCTCCTACGCTTTAGCCATTTATCCCTTCACAAAGCAGGATCTCAGCGTCGTTACATTTTATATGGAGTCTTTCCAAACTTTTCAGGGAACTGTTATCTATAAAGATGAATAAAGCTTCTACCAATGACTATTTGGTTTAAATGATAATAAAAAAATGATTCCAGAGATTTTTTGCAAGTTAAAAACTGAATATGCTTCCTCAACACAAAATAGGGCAATAATCTTCCTATTCAAGAGGAAAACCAACAAACCCAGAAATTATCCAGAAAGCTGTTAACTTGTTTCCTGCTTGGGAAAAAGTAAAACTGGTCATAAATAAAGTACAATTTATGTGACAAGATATTTTTCAAAATTATAAAGGTCTTTCACTCCTAAAAGTAAAAACCACATGATACACATTTGTGCCATTTAACCACTGTCAGAAGATTGTATGTCAATTATGAGCCTCAGGACTTTTGCCATTTAAAAAAAATTTTTTTAAATTTTATGTGTATGCGTGCATTGCCTGCATGTAGGTAAGTGCACCTGTGTCATGCAATGCCCGTGGAGGACAGAAGAGGCTGTCGGATCCCCTAGGACTGGAGTTACGGACGGTTGTTAGCTGCCATGAGGGTGCTGGGATTCGAACCTGGGTCTTCTGCAAGAACAACCAGTGTTCTTAACCGCTGAGCCATCTCTCCAGCCCTGATTTTTGTCATTATACAGTGAACCTCACATTTATTTGTTGTTATTATATAGTGGACTTCAAAGATAATTCCTTACAGTAAATTCATGTGCTCCTAAAAATGCATACTATACTAAAGTTGAATGAACAAAGGGCTACATTAAGGTTTTATTGAGGGGTTGGGGAGAAATGATTCTCCTAAAGTGAAATTCTTTGGTGGTGTTTACAAATACTTATCAATTTCATTTCCTTTATAAAAGAAAACCCTGAGTCCAATGACCACATCTTAATTTCCAACTTCACTCAACACTGTGTTTTAATGCTTTGTTTTCCCCTTTTTTCCTAGTCATTTTTACAAAGTAAGTGCAAAAGTACAGTAACTGAATACATGAATTTTTCAATAGAAAGATGGTGTGACCCTGCTGAAACTGAACTTTAGATTTAGACATTACTGCCATGAGGTAAGCTGAGATGTCATCTTTGGTGCACAGTAGGCAACTATGGGGATTAACTTAGAAAACTGAATATACAAAAGTAGAGAAATGCCTGATATAAGCTGGGAGGCAACTTACATATAATTAAAAATTCTTGACTAGAAAAAAAAATACAGGCTTGGTTAAAATCACACTTGTCATAGACACCAAAACTACAACTATAATTTGGGTCTAATATTCCTTACACTACAGAACGCTGACAGTAAAATTTTGTTATATAAAATTCTCTCCCAACAAATCATTGCTAGAATTAGTAAAACAAAACAAAAATGTTCAATTTCTGACCTCTAATCTTCATAGTTCAAGTTCTATTGAATGAAAAAAAAAACTTTCAGAAGGATTAAAAGGTCAGAATCAAGAAAAGGGACAACTTAAAGTGTATTAAAAAAAATCAAGATCTGAACTGGTGTGGTGGTATATACCATTAATCCCAGCGCTTAGAAGGCAGAGGAGGATGTCTCAATTTGAGGTCGACCTGGTCTACACAGTGAGCCTGCCAAGACTCTACAATGAGACCCTGTCTCAACAACATCTACCCAAAGCAAACAGAAAAATCAAGATCGGATTACAGTCCTTTCCTCTAGTCTTGAAATAGGTTGAATTCAATACAAATTCATTGATATTTGTCACCTGCCTTTTGTATATGCAGAGAAAGTTGTGGTAACAAATTTCAAGATGTAGAGCTGACTTTAACGCCAAAGCATGGGTCTTCTGAGCACTATTTGGCTTCATGGCTAGAGCAACCATAAGATCAGTTCTTTCCAAGCAGTCTTAGTCTCAAAGAGCTCACATTGCAGGGCTGTTTCAATCAGTGAAAGTGATAGGAACCTACCATTTATTCTTTAACACAAATATAGATGGAAAGAAAGTAACACAGCCAAGCGAAAGTCAACCTAAGAGAAATTTTCACCAACAGATTATCCAAACACAAGTTCACGATGCCTAGAGAGAGCTCCATTATGCCTTGTACAGTATATATTTAAGGCTTTACAAGATTTAAAGTGGATGCTCACAATAGGAGCTTCAAGAAAATAAGAGGAAAGATACTTTTTACAAAGGAAAATTCAAATTGCAAAAAAAGTGAAAATTTGAAAAGTTAACACATAATTGTTTTTATTTATAGTTAACTACCACAGAACTATAAAAGAACAAGAATGTTAAACTGAAACAGACAGGTAGGTATATGCATGCTATAACTAAAAACAATGTGCCTATATATTATGGTTAGTGAGAACATTGTTGACAAGGAATTATGTATTATATTGTATACCAAGGAATTGTGATTGTTTAAAAATATGCAGAACTTATTTAATCTGTGCTTTAGAAATAACTATATAGTACTGTAAGTTGAAAAGAATTCAAAAGAACAATTAACAATATACACCTGTGTATTGGAATTCAGAAAAAGGCTGCATTCTGTAAAGTTTTCAGCTGTATTAAAAATGGTATCAATCCAAAACAAAATGCATAGAATATAAAACGGTCATTGTAAGATTTGCTTACTGCATTAAACCCACAGCTTAATCCATGAAATTTCCTTTTAGTTCTCATTCAATCAGAAGCATGCAAATAGTTTTAGGATCTACTTAAGCGTCTTTCCCAAGTTCACTAAGGCTCCGTCCCACTTTTTAGGAGCTAGGCAGGTATTCGGGTGGCAGCTTCTTCCTCTGCGTCAGCTCGGTTTGCATTAATTTCTGCAAGTGTCCTGCCAAATCGTGCCCATTCATCATTGCGGGGAACAGCAATCTGCTGTTAAAAGAAAGACAATGTTTTTTGAGCACTGAAATAGAAGATCATCTTATCAGTTTGTTTTCAAATAATTTTTCCATAAAAGTAATAATTGACCTAAGTGGCCTTTCCATAATTACAGAGACTATAACAATGATTTACAACATTTCACAACAAAAGGCGGTGTTTGTGAAATATGTAGTGACAGCTTCAGAAGTGAATTCGCTGTTGCCACTAGCTGTGTAAGAATGATGCTCTGCAAATGTGTCTCCTGTGCACCCTCTCATGGATCTTGTTGGTGGGAAGGAATTTCTCAAAATTTGTTATTGTATTCTTGCACCACTGCTAGGATGAAACAGTTCTTTTATTGTTTTAGTCTTTCCTGAGACAAGATCTCTCTATGTAGCCCAGACTGCCTCCAACTCCTGAATTGAGGGATCATAGGCGTTTGCCATCTTGCCTAGGATGAAATAGTTCTGAAAGCATGGTTCATAAGAGTAGGTTTCTCAGAAGTAGGTTTCTTATGTTTGGAGCGTAAGATAATCTTTCTCAATACTCTAATTCCTCTGCAGAAGCTATACTTAGCATTTAGTGTTGGATCAAGGGCAAAGAGAAAAAAGAAATTTACGGTGCCTTTGTCTCACAGATGCAATCCAAGTGATACATTTTCTTGTAATTGCCATTAAATTATCATAGAGACTGACACTACCAAGATAGGGTACAAACCATTCAATATGGCAAATGTACATACTTGCTTCTAAATCTATAATATCAAATAGGGTAGCTACTGGCCAAATGAGACAATTTACATTTAAGTTAATTAAAATTAACTGAAATTAAAATTTCAGTTTTTGAGTTTTACTAATCACAGCATTTCAATAGGCACATTTTGCTGGTTACCAAGCCAGACAATGCAGATATAGAAGATTTCCATCTGTGCACATTGTTCAACTGGCTGCACTAAATGATCCAATCTATCTTCTCCCAGATCCAATTGCTATAGGCCACTAAGTGTCAGGACAGGATGGGGAATAATGACACACAGCAGAGCAAAAATGAGTAAAGCACTAGCCAGGATTAAATAGGAAGACTCAACCCTGTGTGCTGCGTACAGTCAGGCAGAGCAACAGGACAGAGAGCTGCAACTCATCCTGCTGAATTAAATTACAATGGTTTTGCATCAAGTTCAAATTTCAAGATTCACTTCTTATACAGGCATTTGAGAACTCTCAAAAGATATTACCTTTGATTTCTATTATCTGGCCCAAACAAATCTATGAATATAGAAAAGTAAACTTTTATCTCCATATCAATTCTATAAAACCCCAAAGTCCACTTATATCCACATTTCTTTCTCTGACTGAAAAATTTCTAGCAACACCTAATTCAAGAAACAAGGTGCCTTGACATATTGTATTGCCCTCAAAACCTGTTGCACATGGGCACAGGATGCCCAGTTTAGGAAGAAAATCTCGAGTTGCTTCTGTGATGGAAAGCATACAACAATGTAGTTTATACAATTCATGAACTACATGACCAGGTTTAACTACTGCATACCTTCACTACAATGCTACTAAAAACACAGGTCAAAACTATTAACAGCAAGCCCCATACCTCTCCCACATCATATATGACAATCTGTCCTTCAGAATCACCCACAGCAATCTCTCTTCCAGAATGGGTCCATCTTACACGATTAAGAGCAGGGTTGCCCTCCACAGAAATGCTGGCGGTTGGTACCTAAAGTCATTTAAAATGTTCAAAGTATGCACAGTGTTAAAATTTTCATTAAAATTTCTAAAACATGTTAAACAGTAATTCTTCCCAACTTTCTTCCTGTTCAGTGATGTATTATGAATGACATTACAGTTTAGCTTTGAAAATGGCCTGGGAGAATAACTTAAGTCCCTTACATGACTGCATTTTCATTTTTGAAAGATCTCCTCAATAATTTTTGTGTGTGTGTTTAACTTCCTTAAAAAGCTGTTCAAAAACATTTGACCAAAACCCACTTAAAAGGATTATATTTTAAAAGCCCTCATAAATGAGCATTTTCTACTTTAGAGGACGGGAATCACTTCCGTAACTTGCACCTTCGACAGCTGAAACCTGTATTTTGATGACCAGTTCCTAGAAACAGTTCACACTAATGGTACAATCAACCTTTCCAAAGCCCCTGTCTCTGTCAAAGGGAAGCAGGATATGGCCCAGTACAATGGGACCAGGACCCTGGAATTTGAATGTGCCTCTCCTGTACTTAGGAAAAACAGATTTACTAGCCACACATGGAGCAACATTCAATGACTCCACCAATAAAAACAATTAAACCTTTAAAGTTTTGAAATATGAGCAAAATGGTCCTTATAACTGACATCATCTACCTTTCCCAAATGATTAGGCCAAAACTGTTGTGAGACCCTATCTTAAAAAAAAAAAAAAGAAAAAGAAAAATGTATAATCAAGTCTAATTATCTAGCTTACACTTTTTCCTAGCAATATTTGAATGTTCCTCCAAAACAATAGGTAGATGATGGCAATAAAATCCTTGCATTTCCTATATATAACTCTTTTTTTTTTTTGCCCTTGTATAATCAAGTACTTGACTTCAAGGGTTTTGGAAAGATGACAACAGAAATCTGAGGACATGTGGGAAGGTGCCAGTGCCTTTCCTTCAGAAGCTACTATTGATGGAACTGTTAATACCACATCTACTAACCAGTAAAAACAGAGAATTCAAAGAACATTTTAAGTCCCTCTAAGCTGGTAAAAGCACGTATCTAAAAAGAATTGATAGGTACAGTTAATTTTTACTGCTAAAAAGTGATTTGGGTATGGCAATTAGGAAATCTCATGGTTTCTTTTACTATTATTACTATTATTATCATTATTATTATTAGTGCTGAGGATAGAACCTAGGATCTTGCACATTCTAGGCAAATGTTCTACCACTGAGTTATATTCCCAGACCTGGGATTTTTGAGACAGGGTCTCATCACATATGTAGCCCAAGCTGGCCTTTAACTCATACTCCTCTTGCCTCTGCCTCCCAAGTGCTGGGATTACAGATGTATGCCACCATACCCCACTCTATATTTGTTTCATAGTAATGGTTACACTGATTATAATCCTTCATGGAAAGCCATCAAAAATTTTTTTTCTTTCACTCAAACAAGTCAGGCTGCCTAGAATTTATGGATCATACACAATTCTATCAAGGCTAATAGATAATTCAGAATCAAGGTTAACATACTTTGACAATCTGAAACTATCTGTTTTCTAGCCTATGAATGAAAGAAATACTCCAACTGCCTCATAGAGACTTCTCCTGGATATTAGACACATGGTGCTGCTTTTCAGAAGTAAAGGAAATGTCTGAGTGCTCACGGCAACATTATTTCTCCCTTCAGCTCTGCACAGCATGCTGTTTGTTATTTAGGGTACAAAGCTTATTTGGCTTCTTTGTGATGAAACTACAATCACAGAACACTTTTACATTCCTTGGGATAAAAGAAATTTCACAAATTATTCAATAAATCTCCAATTTTCTATTTTTCAGTGCAATTTTTGTTATTTTCCTGCTCACCTCTGTATCATTATTGAGATTCCACAAATCCAGTCTCCCCATGCCATCCACACAGGCAAACAGGGCTGGGTGGGTGGGTGACCACATAACATCATAAACATAGTCTGAATTATCTTCAAATGAGTATAAAGGCTTGTTATTCTGAAAAGGAAAGTTGAATCTTAGCACAGTCAATATACAACACACACACATCATTAAACTACTTATCACTAAAAAAACATGATATAAGTTGAACAGGTATACCATCTTACATTCAACTCAGCCTAGAAAAGGTTTCTATAATTTGTTTCACCACAGAATTACAGGGCGTTACAAACTAAGAATCAGATACTAGGTTGCATTTACTTTTTAGCTTGCAGATGTCATACTGCTTTAAAAAAGGAATAGGACATGCTTCAAAATACTGGTCAGTAGAGGGTTCCTGAAGTTTCCAACAGTACACCTTGTGAATCTCCTCTAAATCTCCCCACAAAAGCAGACAAAACACCAAGGATGGAAAAACCAGAGTCACAACATCTATAGCAAAAGCAAGACAAAGCAAGGGGAACCAACAACTACAAGACCTGCACAGTTCTGGCATCCACATGGGAAGTTGCAGGGATAGGCACACACTCTGGACTGACAGCTGGAGCATGGCAGATGCTTACTTGGTAGCAGGATAAGAGAACAGCAGAAACTGAGAGGGGTTTGGCCTCATCCCAGTTATAAATGAATGCCACAGGTGCAAGATGATGCTAAGAAAGGTCTGGGCTCGGCACACTGCATACTCTCACACTCTTTTTTTTTTTTGATTTTTGAGACAGGGTTTCATTATGTAGCCCTGGCTGGCCTAGAATTCACAAAGCTCTGCCTGCCTCTGCCTCCTGAGTGCTGGGATTAAAGGTGTGCGCCACCATGCATGGCATGCTGTTAAAACCAACAAATGAGGGGCTAGAGAGATGGCTCAGCAGTTAAAAGCACTAGTTCTTCTTGCAGAAGATATGGATTCAAATCCCAGCACCCACATGGTGGCTAACAATCATCCGTAACTCCAATCCAAGGGATTTGATGCCCTCTTCTTCTCACAGGCATGGATGCACTTACACACATACAGCCATAAAACTCATACATATAAAATAAAAATAAAGAAATTAAAAAAAAAACCCACAATCCAACAAATGAGCATAGGTGTGAGGGTAGAGATCAGAAGAAAACCTTCAAGGGTCAGTTCTTTCCTACCATGTGGGGATCAAACTCAGGTTGCCAGCCTTGGTGGCAGGCAACTTTACCAGCTGAGCCATCTTGCCAGCCCATTATAAAGTTTTAATTTGTGAGTTTAAAATTTTAAGATATGACTGTAAAAGCCACTAGCAAGATCATCCTAGAAGTAAAAAATGTTTCTTTTTCATTTAAAAAACCCCCACAAATTTAACGAAACTTAAAACTAATAGGGCTGGAGGTTTAGCTCAGTGGTTTGGTGCTTGTATAGTATGCACAAGGTCCTAAGTTCAATCAGTAGTACCACAAAAATAAACTAACAAACAAAAACAAAACTAAGCCAAACAGAGAAGAGGACTTTTCCTAAAAATCACTGTTATGAGACTCAGATTATAGCTTAGTAGGAGACCACTTACCTAGCCAATGTGAAGCCCTGGGTTCAATCTCCATATACACATGTGCACATGCATGCACATGCCAAACATACATATACACACAATTTGCCCATTGCTCTCCTGACACAAATGTCAAATGAAGCCTCCCTCTCAGATAGTGGTTTCTGACTTAGGATGTGTATCATAATCCTCTGTGGAGCTTTGTAAAGACATAGCTACACAGTGCCATCCTAGAGTACTCCATTGCTATTTCTGGCACACCAATGATTCTAAGGCCTTTGACTCCTGAGGTAATGGTACACTTCTTCAAGAACATCCCATTTTCAGGTAATTTTATGGTCAATCATCAAAAACTTAAAAAATTATTTATAATCATGCTATATATTCAATAAAAATGTGTGTTTGGGGGGCTGAGGGAGTAGCTCAGTGGCAGAGCACTTGTCTAGCATGCTGAAGGTACTGGGTTTAATTAAAGCACTGGAAACAAAAGGTGTTGTTATTCATTATTTTTCAAAGAAATGGGGTTGGGGATATAGCTCAATGGAAGAAAGATTGCCTAGCATACAGCAGGTCCTGAGTTCAAGCCTAGTACTGCAAAAAAAGAAAAGAAAAAGAAAGAAAAAAGAGAAAGGGCGGGGGGAGGAATGAGAATCTCATAAAATGGGCAAATAAACTTATGGAAGGGTGCTTAATCATATTAATAATGATAATACCACCCAGCAATGAAACTATACCCATTAGAATGATTTTTAAAAAATCAGAAAATTCCAAGTGTAGTCAAGAATGCAGAGCAATCTGACCTTGCATACACTGCTACAGGTAGACCATGAACTGGTAAAAGCACTTGG